AATCAGTCTCTACTGGACCTGCACACGCTGGCTGCTGACAAAACTGACCCCCATTTGTGTGGCTTCCTGGAGACGAGCAGGTGAAATCCATCAAAGAACTGGGTGACCACGGAACCAGCTTGCGCAGGATGGGGGCCCCCGAAGCTGGCATGGCCGAGTATCTCTTTGACAAGCACACCCTGGGCAGCTTGTGACGAGCGCTAAGCTTTGGCTGCTTCCGGTAGCCTCAGGGGTGACTTCCTGGTCACCACGTAGTATACACGTTGGAGTTCCCTTTCCCTTTTCTATAACTTGTACCAAATCAGCCCTCATGCCTCTCATTTGTACCTTCCTTCAAATAAAGGAATTTGGTATAAAAAAAAAAAAAGATCCAGCCAGATAGATCTCTGTACCCCATGACCCGGCATCCTTACCCCCAGCCAGAGGAACACAGGACTCCCTGAACGGACAGACAGAGCTGGATATGCACACCTCTACCCACCTTCACCTCCAACCGTGTCATGTGGTAGCCTCGCCTGAATTCAACGGGGAGGGAGTATTTACACCACAGAAATGGGCAAATGCAACAAATCCAGGCGTTCTTTCCCCCCAGACAGCCTGTTCTTAAATAGGTACCTCGCCCCAGCTGGTTTGGCCAGTGGATAGAACATCAGCCTGCAGACTGAAGGGTCCCAGGTTCGATTCCGGCTAAGGGCACATGCCCAGGTTGTGGGTTCCATCCCCAGTAAGGGGCGTGCAGGAAGCAGCCAATCAACGATTCTCTCTCATCATTGATGTTTCTATCTCTCTATCTCTCTCCCATCCTCTTGGAAATCAATAAAGAAATATATAAAATAGCCGAAACCGGTTTGGCTCAGTGGATAGAGTGTCAGCCTGCGGACTGAAGGGTCCCAGGTTCGATTCCCGTCAAGGGCATGTACCTTGGTTGTGGGCACATCCCCAGTAGAGGGTGTGCAAGAGGCAGCTGATGGATGATTCTCTCTCATCAATGTTTCTAACTCTCTATCCCTCTCTCTTCCTCTCTGTAAAATAATCAATAAAATATGTCTTTTTTTAAAAAAAAGAAATATATAAAATAAAATAAGATAAAATAAAATAAATAGGTACTAGCACACCACTGCTCCCAGCCCTCCATTTGTCACTGCTCAGCAGACCAGGAGTCCCTGATACAGGAACCCAGGGGGCCCTGGAAGGTTGAGGAGACGAAACAAGCCACCAGGCCACAGCTGGGACATCACCTACCTGCCCAGGCTGCATTGGGCTGGACCGTGGAACTCAGCCCTGGATCCTCCGGTCTCCATTCGAAGGCCTCCGTCCCTGAATAGAGAGCACCGCGCCCAGCTCGGTGCCGCTGGGACTGAGAGCACTGAGCCGGGAACCACACCAGCAAGTCACTTCAGCTGTCCTCCTCCGGAGCACGGGGAGCACCCACCCCAAAGCCACACGTCTGCAGGGCACGTTCAAGGTCTGTCCATGGGACTCCAAGCAAGTCAGACCCTCCCTGAGCCTCAGCATCCTAATCAATAAGATGGACGTAATAGCAGTTCCTGTTTCATGAGGATGTCATAAAAATAAGTTGTGCACTTGTGCCTATAAAAGAGCTGACTTAGCAGAGTGCTTAGTATGTGTTAGATGTGTTATTATAATTGTTAATAATTTCCCATCCCAAACCACAGTGAGATATCAACTCAGAATGGCTATGATCAATAAATCAGAGAGCCCTGGCCGATGTGGCTCAGTTGGTTGAGCATTGTCCCAGGAGGTCACTAATTCAATTCCCTGTCAGGGCACATGTCTGGGTTGCAGGATCGATTCTCAATGGCAGGTGTACAGGAGGCAGCTGATTGACATTTCTATCTCTTTCTCTTTTCTTCTCTCTCTAAAATCAATAAAAACATACTTTTAATAATTTAAAAAAACATGCCCAGCATGTGGCTCAGTGGTTGAGCGTTAACTCATGCACCGAGAGGTGGCAGGTTCAATTCCTGGTCAGGGCTCGTGTCGGGGTTTGGGTCTTGATGCCTGGCAGGGGGTGTGCAGGAGGCAACCGGTCAATCAACATTGATGTTTCTCTCTGCCTTTCCCTTCCTCTCTCTCTAAAATCAATAAAACACACACACATTTATTTAAGAAAATATTTTTATTGATTTCAGAGAAGGGAGAGGGAGGAAGAGAGAGAAACATCAACGATGAGAGAGAATTATTGGTGGGCCACCTCCTGCATGTCCCATGCTGGGGATTGAGCCTAAAACCCGGGCATGTGCCCCGACTGGAAATTGAACCGTGACCTCCTGGCTCATAGGTCAACACTCAACCACTGAGCCACACTGGCTGGGGGAAAAATTATGTTTTAAAATAATCATGGGAGCCCTAACCGGTTTGGCTCAGTAGATAGAGCGTCGGCCTGCAGACTGAAAGGTCCCAGGTTCAGTTCTAGTCAAGGGCATGTACCTGGGTTGTGGGAACATACCCAGTGGGGTGTGTATAGGAGGCAGCTAATCGATGTTTCTAACTCTCCCTTTCCCTTCCTCTCTGTAAAAAAATCAATAAAATATATTTTAAAAAATAATAATGATCATGGGAGTTCCTGCCAGTTTGGCTCAGTAGATAGAGTGTCAGCCTGTGGACTGAAGGCTCCTGGATTCAATTCCAGTCAAGGGCATATACACAGGTTGTGGGCTCAGTCCCCAGTAGAGGGCATGCAGGAGGCAGCGATCAATGATTCTCTCTCATCATTGATGTTCCTATCTCTCTCTATCCCTTCCTCTCTGAAATCAATATATAAATATGGGAGGCAACCAAATTGTTGGTGGCCTTGTTTAAAAATAATAATAATAAAATAAAAATAGTCATGGGGATGTAAGTAAAGTATAGCATAAGGGGCAGTCAGTAATATTGTAACTGCTATGAATGTTGCCAGGTGGGTAAAAGAATTACTGGAGTGAGCCAAAACTGGTTTGGCTCAGTGGATAGAGCGTCAGCCTGTGGACTGAGGGGTCCTGGGTTCGATTTCCGGTGAGGGGCATGTATCTTGGTTAGGGGCGCATCCCAGTGGGGGTGGGGGAGAGTGAGGCAGCTGATCGATGTTTCTAGCTTTCTATCCCTATCCCTTCCTCTCTGTAAAAAAATCTATAAACTATATATTTTTAAAAAGAATTACTGGAGCCGAAATTGGTTTGGCTCAGTGGTAGAGCGTCGGTCTGCGGACTGAAAGGTCCGGAGTTCGATTCTGGTCAAGGGCATGTACATTGGTTGCAGGCACATCCCTGGTGGGGGCTGTGCAGGAGGCGGCTGGTCGATGTTTCTCTCTCATGGACGTTTCTGGCTCTCTATCTCTCTCCCTTTCTCTCTGTAAAAAAATCAATAAAATATATATTTTTTAAAAAAGAATTACTGGAGTGAACCTTTTGTAAGGTATCTAAATCACTATGTTGTACATTATTTGAAACTAATACAATAGCGTATGTCAAGTGTAATTGAAAAATAAAGAAAAATATATAAACAAATGAATTTATATCCCACAGGACAGTTGCGAGGGGAAAGGAGCTGACAAGATGCTCAGCGCAGAGCCTGCACACAGTAGGCGCTCAGTCAATGGGCCTGTTGTTTCTGGCAGTAGCCAGATGGCCAGTGCCTCTGACCTGGGCTGCGGTGACTTTCCTGCAGCCCCGCCTGGCCATTCCGGTCGCCAGGGGGCGCCCCGCCCCGCTCAGGGCACGCCCCGCACCTGTGCACCTGGCCCGCCTCCGGAAGACGGACCGGGCGGCGGGGACCTCGGCGGGACCCCGGCGGCGTCGTGGGGTGAGAGGCTGGGGGCGCTGAGGACAGGCCCTCCCAGCTCCAGGCTGGACGGCGCCGGGCGGGCGGTGTGGTGGGCTCGGGGCTGGAGGCACCGGCCGGACCCCCGGCTGGAAGGAAGGCGGTGGCCGGGCTTCCAACACCTGGGCTGGGGGTTCGAGGGACTATGGGCCCTGAGGCCTGGGTGGAGGTACCAGATGGCAGCTCAGCTCCGGGAGGGGAAGAAGGGACACGTCTCCAGAGCAGGCCGGGCTGCGGGGCCGTGCCAGGGAGACCCTGGGGCCAGCCTGAGGGCAGCTGGACGGGGACTGCTGGGATCCCTGGGCTGGGCGCCTGGTGAGGGGAGTGGGGGAGGGACAGGTGTGTGAGCTGGGGGATACCCCAGGGAAGCCCCCTGCGCCCCTCCCCCTGGAGTCCCTGAGCTGCCGGCCGGGCGGTCCTCGGGGAGTGCCGCCGGCTCCTGTCCCCAGCGGCAGGCTGGGGAGTAAACAGGAACCGGGATTGGCAGGCAGCGGCGGCTGGCACAACCTGTTACCTCGCCCTGCCTGGGAAACTGGAGGGCTGGTGCCCACACTCCCCAGAGCACGGCGGCGCGTCCGGCACCTGCGTCCCGGGTGAGGAACGGACAGCTGAGTCCTGAGAAAACAGGAGGACGGGCCAGGGCGCCCGGGAGGGCGTCTGCGTGCCCGGGAGCCGGGCACCTGGGCTCTGGAAGAGGAGGGGCTGAGGGTCAGGACACCCCAGTTCCCAAGGCCCTGTGTTCTTGGAGGGAAAGGGGTTTGGACTGGTCCCCGAGTCCTCAGTCCCTCAGAACCTGGGTTCTGGGAAGCCCCCCAGACAGTGAGGGGCTGGGAACCGGAATCCATCTGGGTTCTAGAAGGAGGGAGGCAGGGAGTGTCCGCACTGGGACACGTCTGGGGGCGGAGAATGTCTGCTAGAGGCGAAGGCACCCATTTATTTCCTGCTTCTCTCTGCCTCAGTTTACCCCAGGGGCAGTAACTGAGCTGAGTGGCCACGACACGGATCCTTAACCCTTCACAGTCCCGGGAGGCCCTGGCTGAAGGACCGGGAGGGCCAGTGGACAGGGGAAGGGTTAAGGGAGGGCCAGGTGGGGGGTGGGGTGGGGGGCTGTCAAACCCCAGGCTGCAGAGTAGAGTGTCCCACAGACCCATCTGTCCGCGTCCCCCCTCCCTGCAGGCGCCATGAGCTCCCCAGAAGGGCCAGGCTTCCCGCTGGGGCTGCTCTCCGGCGGCGCCTCCCCCAGCTGTGATGAGGGCTTCTTCCCCTTCGTGCTGGAGCGGCGAGACTCCTTCCTGGGAGGGGGCCCGGGGCCCCAGGAGCCCGAGGACCTGGCCCTGCAGCTGCAGCAGAAGGAGAAAGACCTGCTGCTGGCTGCGGAGCTCGGCAAGATGCTTCTGGAGCGCAACGAGGAGCTGCAGCGGCAGCTGGAGACGCTCAGCGCCCAGCACGCGGAGCGAGAGGAAGTGAGCGGGCCGCGGGGGTGCGCACGGGGCAGGGTGGGCGGGTGGAGGGCAGGTGAGCAGGGGTGGAGAGCCAGACAAGGGGTGCTTCTGGGATAGTTTGGGACGGGGGCCCGGTCCCCCTGGCCGCGCTGTTTGAACAGGGGCTCTGGGGACAAGTCAAAACCTGGGTTCAGACCCCCAGCCTGACTGTGTGGCCCTGGCCAAGCCACTCGTCCATCCCCTCATTAGTATAGTGGAACCCCAGCCAAGTGATTGGGAACCCCCTCCCTGCCTGGCTCTGGGCTAAGGACTTTCCATGCATCATCTCTGTCAGTTCTCGCTCAGCCAGTCCTCTACTCCTTCCTCTGCCCAGCTTCTGCGGTCGGCCACACTGTCACCGAGGGTCACATCTGGCCCCTAAACACCCTGGGAACCCCGACGCGGGGACCCGTGTCCTCAGCCCCGACTGCTGCCCTCAGCCCAACCTGGGGAGCCTCCCTCCCTGCGCCGCTCCAACGTAATGGGCACCTAATGGGCATCTCCACGGAAGTGCACTCTTCATTATGCCCCACACCCCCTGTCCCCACCCCGCTTCCCACCGCAGCCCCAGACCCCGAGCATCTCCGTGACCTCCCTCCTCTGCCCCGCCTGCAAGCCCCATTGATTCTTCTTCTGAGCAGGACCCCGAGGCGGCCCCTCACCTGGTCACCCGTCTCTGCCCCAGACACCGCAGCCGCCTCTTCCCTGGTCCCCAGCTCCTGCTCTTGCTCCCTGGAGCCCACTGCCTATGGGGCCGCCAGGGGGGTCTTCAATATCGCAGACCAGGTCATTCCGGTCCTTGCTCAGGGTCTCCCAAGGGTTCTTGGTCACATTTAGACTGAAATCGAAGCTCCTCACCAGAGCCTACAAGTGCCTGTGGGCGGCTTCCCCAGCCTGAGCTCAGCTTCCCACCCCTCCTACTGGGGGGGGGGGGGAGAGGGAGGGCTTTTTCAGTTCCTTGAATAACTCAAGTTGGCTCCCTCAGGGCCTTTGCACTTACTGTTCCCTGCATTTAGCCCTCTTCCTTCTTGCCCTGCGGGGAGTCCGTTCACACATCACTTCCTGCCTTGGGAGCCTACACCCTACCCTGCTCTTCATTCCTTTCCAGGGCTTCCTACAGCCCTTACTGTCCCTCCGAAAGGACCTAGCTCAGTGGTCAGCAAACCGCGGCTCGAGAGCCACATGCGGCTCTTTGGCCCCTTGAATGTGGCCCTTCCACAAAATACCAGGTGGGGGCGCGCACTTACAGTGCGATTGAAACTTCGTGGCCCGTGCGCAGAAGTCGGCTTTCGGCCTGGGCCAGTCTATTTTTGTAGAAGTGGCGTTAGAAGGAGTGGGGGTGTCGGTCGCATGTGGCTCGCGAGCCGCAGTTTGCCGATCACTGACCTAGTTCAAGCTCGTGTCTATTTGCCTCAGACCTCTGGGCTCACGCAGTTTGAGGCAGGGAGCCCTGTGCTATCACTGCGACAGCCAGGCCCCCGAGCAGGAGGGGCTCAGGCAATGTTGGATGGATGGGTGGGTGGATGGAGGATGGGTGGGTGGATGGATGGATGGGTGGATGGATGGATGGGTGGGTGGATGGATGGGTGGGTGGGTGGATGGATGGATGGGTGGGTGGATGGATGGGTGGGTGGGTGGATGGATGGATGGATGGATGGATGGATGGGTGGATGGATGGGTGGGTGGGTGGGTGGGTGGATGGATGGGTGGATGGATGGATGGATGGATGGATGGGTGGATGGATGGGTGGGTGGGTGGGTGGGTGGATGGATGGGTGGATGGATGGATGGATGGATGGATGGATGGGTGGATGGATGGATGGATGGGACTTGGTGATATTAAGGGACTTGCCTGACCACAAAGCAGCAGCAGAGCTGGGCACCAGCCAAGACAATTGGACCCCAATTCTGTGGACTTAATCCTAGAGATGGGCTGCCCCCCAGTATTTGGTTAAAAACCCGGCTGCCTGGGTTGGGATCGATGCTCTACTAATTCACTGTGTGTCCTTGGCAAGGCACTGCCTCTCTGAGCCGGCCCTCCCTGAGCCGGCCCTCTCTGAGCCGGCCCTCCCTGAGCCGGCCCTCTCTGATTCTGCCCTCTCTGAGCCGGCCCTCTCTGATTCTGCCCTCTCTGATTCTGCCCTCTCTGAGCCTGCCCTCTCTGAGCCTGCCCTCTCTGAGCCTGTCTTCTCATTTGTAAAATGTGGACGTTAGTGGACTAAACGAGGTAGCCCAGGTCACACAGGGCCTGGCGGACTACGGCTAACAGCTGTGGCCGCGATGGCTAGCATCACTTTCCCGCTTCGGTAATTAGAGAGTGGGGCCGGCTTGCCCGCCTCCCCACGCTGGGTATCTGGGTGTGCCAGGCTTGCCCGCCCACTCGTTGGACGGGTTTGGGAGAGGGCGGGCAGAGGCGCGGGGCCAGGAGGGGCCGGGCAGGGTTAATTAGAGGGAGCTGGCTGGGAGGAGCCGGAGCAGAGGGGCTGAGCAGAGGCTGTGCAGAAGCTCAGCCTCCAGAGCCCCTCGCTGTGTGAGACGATGGGTCGGGGCTTACACTCTGCCAGACTCAGGCGCCAGAAACGGCGCCTGCGGCATCGGGCCCAGAAGCCCAGGCAGCAGCCAGAGGTGAGTGGGCATCAGGGAGCCCCACCCCATGGCCAGGATGAGGGGAGTGTCAGCCCCTCCTGTTGGGCCTGGAAACTTCTCTCTACTGGGCCCCACCCTGCTCTCCTTTTCTCTGAATCTGCGTGTTGCTCTCCGCCTGCTTCCTCCCGGTCTCAGACGCCCTGTGCTTCAGGTCGGTTTCTCCCTCGGGCTCTCTGTGTCTGTGTGTCTCACCTCTCCCTCTCTCTGACCTTCCCTCCGGGCCTCACAGCGGCTGCAGCAGGAGAACCACGAGCTCCGCCGGGGCCTGGCAGCACGGGGCGCGGAGTGGGAGGCCAGGGCCGTGGAGCTGGAGGGGGACGTGGAGGCCCTGCGGGCCCAGCTGGGCGAGCAGCGCTCAGAGCAGCAGGACAGCGGGCGCGAACGGGCCCAGGCCCTCGGCGAACTCAGCGAGCAGAACCTGCGGCTCAGCCAGCAATTGGCCCAGGTGGGACGCCTTCCTCCAGCCAGGTTCCTGGGTCCCAGTTGCGGGGAGGGTGCCCTGGGATTGGTGTTGAGGCTTTTTGGCTACCTGAGGGCTCCATGGTTCCCTTCTCGTCCCCTCCTCCCCCACCCCTCACCCCCCACCCTCAACCACCTCCACCAGGCCTCCCAGACTGAGCAGGAGCTTCAGAAGGAGCTGGATGGCCTCCGGGGGCAGTGCCAGACCCAGACCCTGGCCAGGGCAGAGCTGAGGTCACGGCTGGAAAGTCTGCAGGGGGAGGTGAGTGCGGGCTCGGGCCGGGGGCCCGTGGGGCCAGGAAAACTGGGCTGTGGGCAGTCTGGAGCTAGCCCAGCACCTGCCCTCCAGCTCTGAGGCCTCTCCCTAGAACCAGATGCTGCAGAGCCGCCGGCAGGACCTGGAGGCCCAGATCCGAGGCCTGCGCGAGGAGGCGGAGAAGGGCCAGGACCGGCTGCGGGCCACGCACGAGGAGCTGCTGCTGCTGCGGCGAGAGAGGCGGGAGCACAGCTTGGAGGTGACAGTGGGGTTGGGGGTGCGGGTGCCTCAGCTGGGGCCTTGGCCATTGGCCTTCCTGGGAGATGAGGCCAGAGCTGGGCGATGGGGGCCCAGCAGCTGGGCCACTAGAGCATAAGCATTAGCCCAAGGCCACGTGGGGGCCACGGAAGGGAGCTAAGCAAGGGTGGCACACGCTTAGAACCAAACTGCTGGGAGGTCAGGGAGAGGCTGAGGCTAGAGCGCAGCCGGAGATGGACCGGGTGTGAGGCAGCAGAGATGGAGAGAAGGGAATGAAGAGGCAGCGCTTCAGGGTCAGCTTTTCTGGGCTCTTATCCCAGGACCTCTTCTTAGGTGTGGAATAGCCAGCCTGTTTCCCAGCCTGAGGGCTGGCAGAGTGACGGTATAGAGCTGTGTTGGGGGGGGGGGGGGGGGGAGTGAGGCATTGAGCCCAGCACTGCTGGCTTAGAAGGCAGGCTCGCTAAGTGCCGGGTGAGAGCAGTTAGAAGATTGACTGGTCAGCCGAAGCTGGTTTGGCTCAGTGGTAGAGCGTTGGTCTGCGGACTGAAAGGTCCCAGGTTCGATTCCGGGCAAGGGCATGTACCTTGGTTGCACATGTACACCGGGGATGTGGGGGTGGTCCAAGAGGCAGCTGGTCGATGTTTCTCTCTCATCGACGTTTATAGCTCTCTATCTCTCTCCCTTCCTCTCTGTAAAAAATGAATAAAAAAGATATTAAAAAAAAAAAAAGGAAGATTGAATGGTCAAAGACAGGCAGGGCTCTCTGAGGAGTTACCTTATGGGGGTGTGGCTGGAGGGAAGGTGATGGAAAACTTTAAAACCCAGGCGTCTATCCGCACCCTGCTTTATAGGCCAGGAAATTGGTGCTGGCTAAGGGGAAGTGCACAACCCGAGGCCTCTTGGCGACCCAGGAGTTGTGGGGAGGGGACCAGGCACCTACAGCGGGGGGGTGCGCAGACGCGGGGCTGCCCGGTCCTCCGCGGCACGCCGGCGCCCTCTATGGGCCAGCCGCGGGTGCCCCTGGCTGACGGCCTGCGCTCTCTCTCAGCTGGAATGCGCGCGCTCCGAGGCCCGGGAGGCGCTGAGTGCCCTGCGGAGGCTGCAGCGGCAAGTTTCGGAGCTGGAGGAGGAGTCTCGCCTGCAGAGCGCTGACACCTCGGGGGCGTCGCTGCAGTCGGAGCTTGCCCACAGCCTGGACAGCGACCGGATCCAGAATGCAGACGGACACAGAGACGCCCCGGTGAGCCCACCACCAGCCCTCCGGGAGGCTGCAGACCCACCCCTCTTCCTTTTCCCGCGAGGTCCAACACCTCACTGACTAGCTCCTTTGGTGAACAGACCACTCCGTCCCCGGAGACCCAGGAGGCATCCGGTCAGCAGCCTTCACCCCAGGAGGAGAGCTCGGAGCCTCCCGTAAAGAGGGCGACCCTGAGCCCAGGAGAGGTTCTGGAGGAGAAGGAGATGGAAGTGGCCCGGCTGCAGGATGAGGTGGGGAGCGGGGGCAGTGCTGGATGAGAGCCTTCCTCAGTGTTTCTCTTTTCCATCTATAACTCTGAGCCTCTCCCCACGAATGCCCCTCTGCCTGGATAATCCTTCATCCCAACTAACTTGCAGTCATGCTCCAAGAGCCTGCCTGGGCCTGGCCGGTTTTGCTCAGTGATTGCAGCATCAGCCTGTGCACGGAAAGGTCATGGGTTCGATTCCAGGTCAAAGACATATATCTGGGTTGCAGGTTCGATCCTTTGCCCCTATCAGCATGCATGTGGGAGACAACCAGTCAATGTATCTCGCTCACACTGAAGTTTTTTTCTCTCTCTCCCTCTCCCTCCTTAAAAAAAGGGGGGGAGGGAATATACTCGGTGAGTATTTTTTTTTAAAAGATAAGGTCAGCCTGTTTGCCACCTCCTCTGGGATGACTTCCTGGACTGCATTGCCCCCTTAGTCCCACCTCCCAATACTTCTCCATGCACCTTTCCTGCGGTTTATTCCATCCAAGTAGCCCCACACCAGCCTGGGGGCTCAGAAGATGCATCTCCAGCACAGGCCGCAGCTGCCCGGGGTGTTTGTGGAGCAGGCAAGGGAAGGGTGGTGGGAGAGCTGCAGCCCAGGCTGCCGAGGAGAGCAAGGGCTTGGAGACCCAGAGGCCTTCTTGCCTCTCACCTCCTTCCCTGTCTGCAGATGGAGCTTCAGCGGATGGAGCTCCAGTCCTTGCGGGAGGAGCTGCAGAGGCAGAAGGAGCTGCGGGAACAGGAGGACCCCGAGGAGGCCCTAAGCTGCGCCCTCTCGGACAGGGAAAAGGCCGTGAACAAGTGAGCCTGCCTCTGCCGCCATTCACTCGCTCCCTGGCAGGGCTCTCGTCCCCGGGGCACTCTGGTCCTCCTGGGTCTCACTGGTGACATGGCTTCCCATTCTCCCCACTCCCACCCAGGGGCCTCCCGATCTCCTTGGTTTCGGTGTTACGGGTCCCCCTCTCACCCGGGTCCAGGGGCCCCCGTCCACCTGCTCGCCCTCTAGCTAGCTCTCTGCCCCGGCCGCCCGCAGGACCCTGGAGCTGTCCCTGGAGCTGAGCCGCGTCTCTCTGGAGCGGGACTCCCTCTCCCGGGAGCTGCTCCGCACCATCCGCCAGAAGGTGGCGCTCACGCAAGAGCTGGAGGCCTGGCAGGTAAGGGGCGGGGCCTGAGCCTGGGGGCGGGGCCTGCGGGGCGGGGCCGTGCGCTGACGCGCTCCCTCCGCCCGCTGACCTCCCGCATCAGGACGACATGCAAGTGGTGATTGGGCAGCAGCTGCGCTCCCAGCGCCAGAAGGAGCTGAGCGCGGCCAGATCCGCTCCGAGTCGGCCAGCACCCCGCTTCTCGCTGCGCGGGGGCCCTGGGCAGGCCGGCGGCTTCTTCAGCAGCCTCTTCCGAAGGACCTGAGGGCCGCCAGGGGGGCCTGCCTGCCATCGCGGGCTCACTCTCCTCTTCTGGCCAATGGAGCGACAGGGCCCAGGCTGTCTTCCACAGGGGGCTGGGACCTCCCAACTCAGGGAAGCTGGGCAGGGGCTCGGTGGGAGCAGGCCCGGCATGGAGGGTCAGGGGCCCCAGGTCGGTGGTGGGGGCAGGTGGGGCAGAGCTGTCTATTTTTTTGAATCTCTATGGGTCTTTTCTAAGCACGAGGGCACTAGGCCCCCGGGCCCTGGCCAGCTCCGGGGAAGGGGTGGGGGAGGTTATTTATGTGTCAGATCAGATAGTAATATATAATTCATTGCACCGACTTAAGTCTTCATTCTTGAAAAGAAAGCACAGGGAAGAAAAACTTGAAATTTTATTTTGTAAAAAGAAAACAAGAAAAAAAACAACAGTTCAGACCTCTGCTCGCTGAGGCCCCAGGGCCCTCACCCTGTCCGAGAGGGTGGGCTCAGGGCCTCTTCCAGGTCCCCCTGCTCCGGGCCCTGCCAGCTGCTGGAGGTCAGAAGGACAGGGAGAAGGCCCGATAGCCTAGATTGGTGAAAACGTCCACCCGGCAGCTGTTGCCTGCCGCTGTCAGCACCTGGAGGCGAGAGGGGGTGACTGAGCCACCCACACGCCCGGCCTCCCAGGCCCCCGCAGCCCCGGGCGGGACCCACCTTGCACTCGGGTGCCGCTGGCTGCTGGTTGAGGCTGAGGCTGAGCAGCCCCGGGGAGGAACCAGGCACCTGGGCCTTCAGCTCCCCACTCAGTTGCCACTGGTTGACGCAGGGGCCCTGGCCGGCTGACAGGATCTGTGGGGAGCGGGGAGAGGACTTAGGGGTCGGGAGCCGAGAGCCGGGAGCCGGCAGGGGTCGCAGAGAGCCTCACCAGGTCCTGGTAGAAGGTGACGTGCTTCTGCGGTGCCCACATGGGGAAGATGGTGGTGGGCGTGGAGGATCGGAGGTGCCAGAGGGTGAGGGCGGGGCCTCCTCCGCAGACCTGGGCAGAAAGGCCAGGGCCCCCGCCGCCATCAGCCAGGGGCTCTCGGCTGGCGGGGCCCGGGCTGCCACCCATCCTGCACTTTTCCTGGCTCACCATCCAGTCCGAGTCAGTCGCCAAACATCCGATCCAGCGCCCGTTGTGGGGCCTGGAGCACTCCTGGGAGGAAGGAGGGGAAGAGGGGAGGAGGTCAAGACACGGAGGTGCCCAGGGAGAAGGGAGAACCAGGTGTGTGTGTTTGGGGGCGGGGGGTGCATGCCCTCACCTCATGCTTGTAGACCTCAATCGTCTGGACCTCGTTGGCCGTGCGAAGATCTGCAGGGGGAAACCATGAGAGGTACCCCACTTTCTCAACGCCCCAGCCTTCCTCACCACCGCCTTCCTCTCCAACGAGTCACTCCCTTACCCCAGAGCCGCACGGTTCCATCCTCGCCGCCAGACAGCACCTCGGGGTTGCGCTCCCGCAGGGCCAGGCAGTGGATGTAGTCAGTGTGGCCTCGGAGGGCCCGCTGCGGGGGGGGGGGGGGGGGGGGGGGGGCGGGTCAGGATGGGGTCCGGAAAGAAGGGCTCCGCCTGCCGCCCACTCCGGGCCCTCTCACCGTGAAGGTCCCCGTCTCCAGGTCCATCGTGTGCAGCTGGCAGTCTCCCCCCGCCAGGATGAGGGAATTCTCCTGCGGGGGGGGGGGGGGGGGTCAGCAGTCAAGGTCAAACAAGGACAGGGCCCGGGGAAGCTATCAGTTTGGGCCAGAAACGGGGCATGGCAGAGCCCTGGTCACAAAGGGCTCAGACCTTGGGGACGAGAAGCAGAGCGTTGATCTCAGGCACTTCCAGGCTGGTCCTAGAGGAGGGAAAGTGGGGTCAGATCTGGGGAGGCAGCGTCTGCCCCTTTACATGCCCTCTCCTCCGCCCATGCAGCCCTGGCTTACCTGTAGGGGGGCTGACGGCACCATAGCTCCTTGCAGCCCTTCATGGAGTGAAACACGGGGTGACCTCAAAGGTTCTCTCCGGGGCTGGGTGCCCGGGCGCCCCTGCCCCTCCGCTCCACGCTCCTCACCTTCTTGAGGATCTCTGCCCAAAGCCAGGCCTTCACCTCCCCGTCCCCGGCGCTGAACAGGTGTCGATCCGTGGAGACCATGCTGTAGACGGGCCCGTCGTGGGCTAAATGGAAACGCAGAAACCTGAAGGACTCTATCCTGCTCCCCTCCTTCACCTGGGGGTCCCCTAAGTCAGACTCAATGGCTGCAACCCACCTTGGAAGGTCACTATGGGCTTCTTGCTTTCCTCTTTGGCCTCAGAGCTCAAAGCAGCGGACAAGCTGCAGGAAGAGGGGAGAGAGTGTCTGAGTCAGGAGCAGGGGCCATCAGTCCTGGGAAGGCCAAATGCCAGAGCCAACAGGTGTCGGTGCGCAGAGGCAAGGGTACCTGAAGATGGCGATCTGCCCGTAGTTGTTACCCGCAGCCAGGAACTTCCCGCAGGGTGAGAAGCTCTGGGAGAAAATGGTCATGTGCAACCGCTGCAGGGCCTGAAACACTTCCACCTGTGTGGAGAGGAGGGATGAAAGCTGTCTGGGAACCCCACTCCACAGACTCCTTCCTGGTTCCCATCCTTCTCAGACCTCCACTGAGGCCCCCTAAGCAGGCATCTGCCCATAACGTCCCAGGGCTGGCTCCAAGAAGAGGGTGAGGAAGGAAGGGGGGAGTTGATTTGAGGTGCCTAGAAGGACCTTGAGCAAACACCTAGGCTCTCTTGCAAGTTTCCTTAACTGTTAAATGGGGCTCAGGGGAGATTCTGATGAGACTGTATGAGCTATGGTATATAAAGAGCTACACAAATCGCCCCAATAAAGAATAACGTACTACTTTCTAAGCCCTACCCTCTGCCTTTAATGTCAGGCCCACGAGGTATTTCTGGGTTACTCCTCTGCCCAGGGGTCAGAGTCCAAGTCCTACCCACAGCCCGCACAAAACAGGGTTCAGGACAATAGTGCAGTGAAGGCCTGGGAGGAGGTGAGCAGGTGCAGGGTGGAGGGAGTCAATGGGGAGAAAAAGGGAACATCTGGAATACTTTCAATAATAAAGATAAATGTTTAAATTTTGCTCTGGCCGGTGTGTTCGGTGGTTAGAACGTCCGGCCTGCGGACTAAAGGGTCCAGGGCTCAATTCCTGATCAAGGGCATATACCTGAGTTACAGGTTCCATCCCCTGCTTGGGCCGCCTGCGGGAGACAACCAATTGATGTGTCTCTCTCGCATGGATGTTTGTTTCTCTCCCCCGCCTTCCCGCCTTATCCCTCCCCCCTTCCTCCCCTCCGCCTCCCCCCCCCCCCCCCCCCCCCCGCCTTCCACTCTCTCTAAGGAATCTATAGAAAAAATAAAAAATATCCTCGGGTGAGGACTAACAACAACAAAATTGGGTTGTCTTGTTGAGTTCTAAAAGTCCTTTCTATATTCCTCATTAAAGTATTTTAAATAAGATATTAAAAATAAATAAATATAAAAAGGAAAAACGGTTCGGGGAAAAACTCCTTGCCCTCCCCTTCTGAACTGGGCAGAGACTACAAACCCCAGAAGGCACCGCGCACCATGTCCGCCTCACCTGACCCAGAGGCACCGTGGGCGGCACAGCTCGCTCCATCTCGAGAACTACAAGTCCCAGAGTGCTCCGCGCGTCACAGCCTCAGTCCGGACGTGTTCTGGAGCGGCTTACCTTCCCGGCGTCCCACTGGCCCAAAACCGCCGGCAGGCTCGGCCGGAAGGCGATCGCCGCGCACCCCCAGAGCCCCAGGAACCGAGGTGAACGCCGCGAAGACCTCCCAGGCCCCCCAACCCTAAGAGGCGCCCACCGCAGCCCCGCTCCGCCGGATCCCCTCCTCCACCCCGCCGAGCAGACCCGCCTCCAGCCGCCCGCCACCCGTCCTCCGCGCCGCGCGGAATCTCGCTGCTGCGCGCGCCTAAGGCCACACCTCTCGCGTGTGGCCACGCCCTCGGAGCTCCGCCTCTGCCGCCCGGATCCCACCCTCTGCCCCCAGGACCCCAACCCCAATGATTCTTCAGCAGCCCCTGGAGCGTGGCTCCCCGAGACGGGCCCAACGCGACTCGGGGCTGCCTCGAAGCCTGGACGCGAGGTGTGTATGGGGGCCCGGGGTGGGCCCGGCCCAGGGGCGCAGGAGCTTTGGCCCGGGGCTCAGGGCTTGTCTTCAAGATGACACACAGTGGGACAGACAAATCAGCAGGTCTGAGGCATGAGCTGAGTCAGGTTTGGAGACTTCCAGAGAGTGGGGGTGACTTAGGCGTCAGCTGAGATAGGGGCTGGGGGGTCCCTGGCCGGCGTCCCAGGCTCAGGCTGGCAGATCTTGGGAATGGGGCATAGAGGGTGGGGTGCACCTAGCTCTCTTTTCTCCCTAGCTCCCCTCTCCGAGGAGCTGTGCCCATGAGCACCAAACGGCGCCTGAAGGAGGAGCAGTGAGTCTGGGGACAGGGAGGGACTCCCAGCAAGACCTCTGTCAACTCAGGCCCCCATCGTCCTGCCTCCCCTCTGAACATCCCAGCCGACCTGCCTGCTGGTCTCTCTCCCCAGGGAGCCCCTGCGCAAGCAGTTCCTGTCCGAGGAGAACATGGCCACCCACTTCTCCCAGCTCAGCCTACATAACGACCACCCTTACTGCAGCCCCCCGCTGGCATTCTCCCCAGCTCTGCCTCGACTCAGGTAAGTACTGTCCACGAGCTGCTGACTGGGCCTTCTGGACGGTCACACCTCCTGGGAGCCAGCCCCCGGGCCTTGCCTCATCCTGCTATTTTTAGCTTCTGGCCACCCTCTTGGCTCCTTAGAAGGCAGAGGCCGCCCAGGAGCCCCGGGGGACCTGAACCCGGGAGGAGGCGGCTCTGCCACGCCATCCTCAGCCCTAACTGTCGTTTCCTCTCCCAGGAGCCCTTGCTCTGAACTGCTTCTCTGGCGCTACCCTGGAAACCTGATCCCCGAGGCGCTGCGGCTGCTGAGGCTGGGGGACCCGTCTGCCTCCCGCTACCCTGCGCCCCCAGCGGGGGAAACAATGGAGCCCTGAGTGCTGGCAGACAGGGTACCTGCCCACGCTCCTTCTCCCCCACAACAGGGGGGATCAACACCCTCGTGAAGGGAACAGCTGCCCTGCTTTTCCTCCAGACCAGGCCTTTGAGCATCGTGGCCTTCCCCCCACAGAGAAAGACAGAGCCTGGGGCAGGAGGGACAGGAGCTTGAAAAGGGAAGGCATTCTCCCCCGTTCCCCCAGAAGAAATGAATGAATAAAGATTGCTGAGCGGACGATGGCTTCAGTCTGGAACCTGGGGCCTTTGGGAAGAGAGGGCAAGCCTGGGGCACCAGATGCTTCAGTTTCTCCTCAAGATCTTCCCTGGAAAACGGTCCTGGTCTGGCCAGGTCCTGGCAGGCTGGGCTCAGGCATTGAGAATGTGTGAGTCAGAGCCTCACCCCCGCCCCCGAGGCTGACTCACCCCTCCCTCGGCTCAGGCTGGGGAATCATGCCGCTCCAATCCATTTAAAGTTAAAGATTCTTTTATTAATAAATTCTCCCGCCCCTCCAGACTCTCTACCCAAAATAAATATCTCCCCTCCTTTGAGGGTTGGTGGGGGCAGTGTCTCAAGGCCAGCCCCCCTAGAGGGCCAGCCCCCTAGTGTTAGGAACAGGTCCCTAACCGCCCAGGCTAAGACCCCAGTGCTGGAATCTCAGCGCACAGGAGCGGGTGGGACCCGGTGTCTGTCTGTGCCTCACTTCAGCCTGACCCCCAAGCCACAGGGATAGGGGACCTTTGTGCAAATGTTGCAGTTCCTAGTGTCAGCCATGTGGTGTGGTGTGAGCCAGCCTGAGTCTCTTTTCTGTCCCGGAGCCAGAGGCAGGGCAGTCCGATGCCTTGGAGGTTCCTCTGAAGCCTGGATCCAGGCCTCAGAGAAGTGGTTCACCTGTCCCCCACCCCTGCACACCCGTGACGGGAGCACCGTGGCTCTGGTCTGGGAGGCAGGGGCTGGCTCCACATGAATGAATGAATGAATGACGAGTGGGCACAGTCTCCTGGTGACCAGGAGAGCTCATTGTCACTGGATCAGCGCTGCACCAGGACAGCCCTCCCCGCCGGTCTCCTCGATGGGGGCTGCAAGATAAGAGGGGTCATCAAGAGCTGGGAAACGTTGAGGAGTGATGGGGGGGCAGGGCGGGGGGGCAAGGAGGACAGGGCACACTTACTGGTAAACTTCTCTCTCCTGCGGCACCTTCTCCAGACCAGGAAGCCAGAAAGCAGCCCCAGCACAAGGGCCAGGCTCAGGGCGCCCCCCAAGATGGGCCACAACAGCCCAAAGGAGGCCGAAGGCGCCCCAGCACCTGCAGCAGGACTCAAAGTCAGGCCTCACCCCTATCCCGACCAGCCCCACCCCTAGATCTGAGCCTCAAGTCTTCCCCCTACCCGGACTGGAGCCCCGGCCCCATTCACCTCCCACGTTAATTCCCCAGATTTAAAGCCACCTGCTCCCCTCCCTCCCCTATCCTGGGGTCGCCCCCGGCCCCGCCCCCACTCACATCCCCGGCAGAAGTCGCTGTGCGGCAGGGCTGGACAGGACTCGCAGTTCATGCACTTGTCGAGGTCGTCGCTCCAGGAGCTGCCGCGCGAGCAGGGAGTGGTGCCTGGGGAAGGGGATCAGAGGCTGGGGGCGGGGCGCGGCTATTCTGGGGCTGAGGTCTGGGTCGGCCGGCTCGTATAGCGTGAGTCACCGGCGCCCGCTTCCCACATTCCTCACAGGTGACCGCACCGCCCGACCGGGACCGGCAGCGCGGGTGGGGGGGCCGTCGGGCAGGAGGCTGGGGGGGGGGTGTCAGGTCCCTCCTACCCCCCCCCCCGCCGGCGGCGGCGAGTGACTCATTCCTGGGCACTGGGCCCGACCCCGTCCCTCCCCCCCCCGCATAGCTGGGCACTGAAGTCACCGGATGGAACGGGGCACCCCACATGGTATGGGGGACACAGACCCCCGTGTCTCTCGACACCCCACCCGGACCCCGGGTCCCTGGGGCTGGGCAGGCCCGGTACTGACCAGGCTGGGGGCCTGCCCCCTTACCGGATGAGACATCCCGCCCTCACACTTTCCCCACTTCCGAGTCCCGTTGGCCGGGCAGGAAACTGAGGCCGGGCTGGGAAGGGGCTCGGAGCGGGATGGGACCTCCCCTGGCCGGGGAGGCGGCGTCTGGAAACTGCCCGATCCCATCCCGTGTCCCCCCCGTCCTGCCCGCTCCTCTACTTCCCCAAGCCGGCTCCCGCATCCCCGGTGCGGGTTCCCGGTCCTCCCGCCTCCCCAGCCCCGGCCCCGGCCCCGGCCCCGGCCCGGCCTGGCGCCCGCGTACCTGACAGCGGCTCCGCGGCCGCCGCGCACAGCAGCGCCAGCCCCAGCGCCAGCGCCAGCGGCCGCCGCACAGCGCGCAGCCGGGCGGGACTCATCGTGGCGTCCGCGGCCGCTACGGTCTGAGCCCGCCGCTCGCCGCCGCCGGGACAGACAGCCTCAGCCGGTCCCGCCCCCGCCTTCCGGGGCGGAGCCCCGCCCCCGCGGCCCGCCCCGCCCGCCCGCCGGCCCGCTACCCTCCGTCCCGAGCGCTAACCGCCCGGGGCTCAGGGCCGGGATGAGTGTGTGATGGGGGTCAGGGGACGGAGAATCCGGCCTGAAACCACTCACCCCAGCTCTAAGGACGGCATAAGAACAATAATGCTAATGTGTGCTTTGGTTTATTTTTATTTTAAAATATATTTTATTGATTTTTTTACAGAGAGGAAGAGAGAGGGATAGAGAGTTAGAAACATCCATGAGAGAGAGAGTCATCGATCAGCTGCCCCCTGCACCCCCCCCCCCAGGGATGTGCCCGCAACCAAGGCACATGCCCTTGACCGGAACCGAACCTGGGACCTTTCGGTCCGCAGGCGGACGCTCTATCCACTGAGCCAAACCAGTTTCAGCGTGTCCTTTGATTTTTTATGTTAAGACATAATTACCCAGTAACCTGTGGGCTTGTCTCCATTCTGCAGAGCGTGAAACTGAGGCTGGGGAAGGTGGAGGAGCCGAGGCGCAGTCCTGTTTGGCTGCACGCCCTGCGCCCTGACTCACGGGGCCCCACGCAGCCCCCGAGGTCCCCTCGCCCGGCCAGGTGCGGGCGCAGCAGGGACGAAGTTTGAATTCTTGCCCCGCCGCGGTCCGGCCCGGGGTCTCTGCCCCTCCCCGGGGTCTCTGCCCCTCCCCGGGGCGGCCCGGTGACGTCACCGCCCCTTTAAGACCCCCGCCTCCGCCCCGGCCCCGCACTCGCGGCTCCTCGGACCTGGCAGAGCCGCCTCCCAGGTGAGCCGGGGCGGTGCTGCGCTGCGGAGGGGATGGTGGGGGAGGAGGTGGGCGCCTCCAGGGGCCCGGCGCAGGGTGCGGGCGGCATGGAGAGCCTGGATTGACCTTCTGGCGAGCCGCCGGCCGGGCCAGGTCGGGCCCTTGGGCGGCTCGAACGTGGCCAAACGCCCCTCCCCACTTCCCCTGGGACAAAGGCACCGAAACCCGCGCCCCTCCCCCACCTGCCGCGCCGGCCGCCCCTCCCCCGCACCTGGAGCGGCTCCCGGGAAGGCGGGGGGCTGAGGGCACCCACTTTGGAGCCGGACTCCGGAGGGGGGGGGGCGGGGGCGGTAAGGAGCGTCCTCGGACCAAATCGAGCTGATAGCTGTGTGTGGAGAGGGAACGGAGTGGAGGCAGGGGAGAGGCGCCAGGTGCCTGGTTGAAGTGGCCGAGGCCGGGACAGGTAGACCGGGGACTGAAAGAGGGCTGGCCCGCCCCATCCCGCCTCCCCCACCCCCTCCCCCAGCTCTTCAGCTCCGGCCTAGCAGGTGCAAATAAAAGTGAGCGGAGGGTCTGCTCTCCGGTCACACTGCTGGGCTGGTGCTGGGCTTAGGTCCGGGCACAGAACTGACCTGGAAGGAGACCTGCACCGCGAAATGACATGTGAGGGGAGGCAGGCGGAGGGGCTGCTGTGGAGGAGCTGGTTCACTCCATAGACCCCAAAGATTTTAGCTCCTTTCAGAGAAGTTGTCTTGAGAGGATTGCGTTATGGGAAAGAACACACAAGAAAAAATGTCCCTGACCTTGGCAGTGTGCTCCATGGCCCCAAAGGGAAGAGTGGGACCCAGGGAGACAGCCAGTGGCCTTAGGGATGGAAGTGCTTTTGAGTGAGAATTCAACCCTCCCCCTCCCCCCACCCCCCAAATCTCTCCGGCCCCACCAGGGACTGGCTGAGGCTGTGCTGGGGCAGGCCAGGTGGGGACTGGTGGGCCACACGGCACAGAAGATCTTTAAGATCAAGCTGGTAACCACCTGCCTGAGGTAACGGACCCTGTCGGACTCTTCTGTTGAGTGGTGGGAAGAAGGTTGGATCGCTCATCTTGATGGCTTTAAGAGTGAAACCCAATCGCCAGAGCCAACCTTCCATCTGTGCTCTCTGTGGAAACACCTGCAAACTTTGCCGTCACTTCATCCCCTCTTGTCACTTTGCTGTTTGATCAAATGTACCCATAGGGGCTGAGGCTTTATATTATCTTTCCTTTCTACTCAAAACAGACCGTCACATCACTAGGGGAAAAGAAATATATGCTGAGGCATTAATGCTCATTTTGGCCGTGAGAAAATGGCACCCCGACTCCTAAGGCTTATGCTCTGGGTGTTCTGTGTGGCCATGGCACACGGCCTGGGGAGTAGCACTCGCTGGAAATGAGGGATCCTGGCCGCCAGCGGGTCTCAACCTTGCTCTGTTCTGTCCCCAGGGAAGCTCCTTTCAACTTCCGCCTCGTCATGGCCTCCGCGGGTCTGCAAATCCTGGGCATCGTCCTGACGTTGCTGGGCTGGGTGAACGCCCTGGTGTCCTGCGCCCTGCCCCTGTGGAAGGTGACCGCCTTCATCGGCAACAGCATCGTGGTGGCCCAGGTGATGTGGGAGGGGCTGTGGATGTCCTGTGTGGTGCAGAGCACCGGCCAGATGCAGTGCAAGGTGTACGACTCGATGCTGGCGCTGCCCCAGGACCTGCAGGCCGCCCGCGCCCTCTGCGTCATCGCCCTCCTCACCACCCTGGTGGGCCTGCTGGTCTACCTCGGCGGGGCCAAGTGCACCACCTGCGTGGAGGACAATGACTCCAAGGCCCGCCTGGTGCTCACCTCCGGGATCATCTTCGTCATCTCGGGGGTCCTGACCCTGGTCCCCATCTGCTGGACGGCCCACGCCATCATCCAGGACTTTTACAACCCCCTGGTGGCCGAGCCCCAGAAGCGGGAGCTGGGGGCCTCCCTCTACCTGGGCTGGGCGGCTTCTGGGCTTCTGTTGCTGGGCGGGGGGCTTCTGTGCTACACCTGCCCGGCTGGGGGCTCCCGGGGCTCCAGCCATTACCTGGCCCGATACTCAGCGTCTGCCCCTCGAGCCATCTCTCAGGGGCCCTCTGAATACCCCGCCAAGAATTACGTCTGATGGCCAGGAGGACGGGGCTCCCCTGACCCCTGAGCTGGAGTCATCAGGGTGCATGACCGTTTCTGGGTTGCTCTTGTCTTGTTTTTCCTTTTTATTGGGCAAGGGGGTGTTTGTTTTTAAGCCACTCGTTAAGCGCCAAACCAAGAAGAAATTCAGTCTCTCACCTGGGCTGTGCTGCTGGCATTCCTCACCTTTTGGATGATGAGAGGCAACCGCTTCAGAGTGTCTCCATCTTCCTCCACCTTGGACATCCCCATCTTAGGGCCAGCCTGGAGCAGTGACCTGGAGCAGTGGCTGTGTGCTGGCCAGGTGCTTTGTGACAGCAAGGTGCTCTGATAGTCTGTCCCCAAGGGTTTCTGCTGTGGTGGGGCAGGGCTTGCAGGGAGCCTCATGCGCCCTTGAGAAGACCAGGTGATACCCAAAACCACCTACCTCCGAGGATTCTGACCTCCGGCTCTTCCGTCCTCGTCTCAGAGTTGCTTCCCAACCACCCTGTAGCCCCCTGACCCTCTCTCACATGCAGGCCCTGCACGCTTCTGCCCCTCGAGCCATCTCTCAGCGTGCACCCACACGCTAGTTTTTCCTAAATAAAGAGTGTTTTGTTTTGTTACTTGCCGTTGGGGTTGCTGGGGGCTGTTGAGTTCCAGCCTGGAGTGAGGTGAGCGTGAACGGCTCCCCTCCTTTGTTGCTCACCCGCCTAGCACAGCCTTAGGTTACCCGCTCTGCTCCGGCCTGGAGCGGACCTTGGCCTGACAGCCCCGGCCACCTGGTCTCCTCCGCCCAATCACAGGTCAAGGCAGCAGAGGTACAAATACTCTTTATTCTGGGATCCGGTGGGGGTGGGGTGGGGGCAGGGAGCGGGCTGGGCCCTGCTGGCTCGGAGGAGATTGGCTTCTCCCAGCGGGCCTGGCCTGGGTCTCTGAATGGAGGTGGTGGCCAGACTGGAGGGGACCGGCTCCAGGGCCTGCAGAGTATAATCCTCTCCTTGTTTGAGCCGCCGAGCACTGCCCTTTGGGGGGAGGCCCAAGTCCCAGGGGCAGGGGAGGCCTCAGGAAGGGGAGGAGAGCCAACCAAGGTCCAGGAAGCAGAAGAAAGCAACTGGTTGGGGGAGGTGGGGACCCCTTGGAGGAGGGTCTGGACTCAGCCAAGCCACCTGAGACTAGGCCAGCGGCCAAACCTGGCTGGATCTCCTAGAAGGCAGGTTTTCTTTCATCTGGGGAAGGGGTGAGGGTAGAAGGCAGGGCTTGGAGCCGGCATCCAGCACAAAGTCCAGGCTCTGAGCAGCGGGCCTCTGGAGACGCCTCACACGTAGTCCCTCTTGTCCATTCCAGAGGTGCCGGAGCGGGAGGGGATGGAGTAGCCCAGCCGGGGCCCTCGGGGCCGGTCGATCTGGGGCGGGGGGCAGGAGCAGCAGAGGAGGCCCCCGCCCAGCATGAGCAGGGCAGCAGCCGCCCAGCCCAGGTAGAGGGAGGCCCCCAGCTCCCGCTTGAGGGCCTCGGCCACCAGGGGGTTGTAGAAGTCCTGGATGATGGCATGGGCCGTCCAGCAGATGGGGATGAGGACCAGGATGCCCGAGAGGAGGAGGATGACCCCGGCGGTGAGCACAATCCGGGCTTTCGCGCCCTCGTCCTCCACGCAGGTGGTGCACTGGGCTCCGGTGATGGCCACCAGCAGGCCCAGCAGGGAGAGCAGGAGGGCGACGACGCAGAGGGCGCGGGCGGCCTGCAGGTCCTGGGGCAGCGCCAGCATCGAGTCGTACACCTTGCACTGCAGCTGGCCGGTGCTCTGCACCACACAGGACATCCACAGCCCCTCCCACATCACCTGGGCCACCACGATGCTGTTGCCGATGAAGGCGGTCACCTTCCACAGGGGCAGGGCGCAGGACACCAGGGTCCCCAGCCAGCCCAGCACGGCCAGCGTCATGCCCAGGAGCTCCAGGCCCGCTGAAGCCATCTGCCCCCTCGGTTAGGTCTTCTCGGCCCTGGGCGGCCCGGTTCACGGAGGGGTGCGTCCGACGCTGCCAAAGCAGTGGCCTCGGTGCTGCCGGGAACGGGCCGTCGGTGTCCTCGGCCGAGACAGTCAGTCCTCACATCTGTGAGCCTCTCGCAGGCGCCTCCTCGCTCTGTGCCCCTCGCAGGAGTGTCCCTGGTCCCCAACACACACAGTCGCACAGTCCTTCCCGCTCCGTTGAGTGGCTGGTGTCCCCTCGAGGTGCCTGCTGCTCCCGCTGCCACCCTGCAGACGCGTTCCCACCCCTGCCAGTCGGACCAGCTACGCGGAACCTCCCCTCTGACCCACCTTCAGGCTGGGGAGAGCCTCATCCCTCCGGGCGCAGGATCGCATACGGGGAGCAGCCGTGTAGCCTCGCCCAGGGCACCCGGGGACTGAGGCTCCTGGCCAGGGACACGGGGTTTTAAGGCCGAGGCAGGGGAGGAGCAACCAGACCAAGACTGAGAGGCTGGTGCTGCGAGAGGAGGCGGGGGCTGGGCTTGTGTGTGCGTGTGTGTGTGTGTGTGTGTGTGTGTGTGTAGGTGTGTGTGTGTGTGTGTGTGTGTGTGTGTGTGTGTGTGTGTGTGAAGGTGTGGAGGGGAGGGGGAAAGAGCATACCGTGACCGGGAAGAAACAGGAGGAAAGAAGAACATCCACGCCATGGGAACCCAGAGACAAAGCAATGGTGAGCACTGGCCTGGTCGCTCGCTTGGTTAGAGTGCCCTCCGCATATGCCATCCCCGGTCAGGCTACATACAAGAATCAACCAATGAATGCATGAGTGAGTGGAACCACAGATCTCTCTCTGGAAGAAGAAGAAGGGAGAAGGAAAGAGTGGTGAGACTCAGGCAGAAGACAGGGAGCTCCAAATGTAACAGTTGGCTCAGAAGTGGGCGAGTTGGGGGCTCAGCCCCCGGGCACCCCCTCCCTCGCCATCTTTGCTCTTCCGGGCTGGCTCATTTCTTGATGATGCAAAGGCACCCCAGCTTTTCCAGTATCGAGAACCCCCTCTCGCCCCTCCCCTGCGCTAGGAGCTAGGACTCTCCGGAATTCGATCTGCCTCCTGCCTCAGCCCAGTGGCCCTGGCGGCTCCCGGGGGAGGGGCCCCGCCCGCACCGTCTCCCAGGCGACAGGTGCCTGGCGCCCAGCTCAGGTGGCATCGTCCCGGCAACGGCCTAGAAAACCACCCCCCTTGCTCCTACCTCAGCCCAGGTATGCCCTCCCGCCCCCTCCACTGAAACCGGGGGCCCAGCTGCAATCTCCGGAGCCGGGGCATAAAGGGCCCGTTGTGGGAGCGGCGGGGGAGGAGCACGCAGGCCGGAGCGAGAGGAGAGGAGCAGGGACAGGAGCACTGGGTGAGGTGACGCCCAGGACCCGCTCATGCCCAGGGGAGGTGGGTGATGACTCTGGATGAGATACCACAGGAAAGGCCACAGGGGTCAGGCCCAGGTGACTCAGCTTTCTTTGAACCCTGCCTCGTCATCCTCAAAAAAGACATTCTTGATAGAAACATCAATGATGGGGCCGAAACCTGATAGAGCGTCGGCCTGCGGCCTGAAGGGTCCTGGGTTCGATTCCGGTCAAGGGCATGTACCTTGGTTGCGGACATATCCCCAGTAGGAGGTGTGCAGGAGGCAGCTGATTCTCTTTCATCAATGTTTCTGACTCTCTATCCCTCTCTCTTCCTCTCTTTAAAAAATCAATAAAATATATATACTGGGAATCCAGCCCACAGTCCAGGTCGGTGCCCTGACGGGAAATCAAACCGTGACCTCCTGGTTCATCCTCCTGATTCCTGGGTTGACACTCACCACTGAGCCACACCAGCCTGGCTGGAGGTAATTAAAATTCACACACACACACACACACACACCCAAAATACACAATAGCTCAATCCACTATTTTTGCTGGCAAAGGAAAGACAAAAGAAAAAAATTATAGCTCTTTACCTACAAATACCATATGTTAGTATTTTTTAAAATATATTTTTATTGATTTCTGAAAGGAGAAAAAAGCATCAATGATGAAAGAAAATCATTGATTGGCTGGCTCCTGCATGCCCGCTGCAGGGTTCCAGCCCACAACAAGGGCATGTGACCTTGACCAGAATCTAACCCAGGACCCTTCAGTCCGAAGGTCGATGCTTTAGCCACTGAGCCAAACCGGCTAGGGCTGTTAGTATTTCTTTAAGCATGGTCAAATGACTTTTATATTAGCATCTCTCATAATGTGTTATCTAGATTGGTGACATGAAGAACAAACCAGTACAAAAGCTGTGATATATTGTCTTTCTAGATTTTATGGAAGTCATGAGACCAGCTCTATAGCACAAAGGGTACCATTATATGTCCACAAATAAACCAAAATATTGGTGTACAATTGATATTTGACAAGGATGCCAAGATCTTTTAATAAAAACAGAAAAGTCTCTTCAACAGATGGTGCTGAGAGAACTGGAGAACCACATGCAAAGGAATGAAGTTGGAACCTATCTAACTCCATCTACAAAAATGAACTCAGGATGGCCCAACAACCTAAATGTAAGGTGTAAAACTATAACTTTCAGAAGAAAATATGGAGGTAAATCTTAATGAATTCAAATTTGGCAATGGATGTGCAGACTTTACTCAAAACAAGAAAAAGAAAGGCCCTCTTCCTCAAAACCCCGTGGCGCCCCGCTCTCCCCTGTGGAGGGCAGCCCGGGAGTCACACAGGCCACGGCTCAAACCCTGCCCCACCCCACCGGGACAGATCTTGGAAAGTCAAGGCCCTTAATCTCCTTGGGTCAAAGAGCCCTTCGAGAAACCTCCTGAGATCCTCCAACGTGAGCCCCTCATTTGGGGGAGGGGCTGTGAACTCTCTTAAGCCCCTCCCTGGGTGCTAAGAATTGAGAATTATTGTGTGAAGGAGGGGGAAGGGAGGGGGTCTGATGAAAATTCCAACTTCCCAACATGGCTGTGAGGACTCTCAAAGGCAGCCCTCCCCGGGAGCCTCTCGCCTCCACGCCT